ATAGTTGCTTAAATCTAACTTAGTTTTATTTATTTATGTAATACAATATTTAATAACAACAAACAAGCAGTCAGAAACCAGTTTACGAAAATCGCCAAAAACTGACGAGTGAGCAAAATAAACAAAAAATCAAAAAAACAGAAAAAGGAGGACAGTCTCCAACAAAAAAACAAAACAAATTTCGTTTTTTAATCTTTAAGTAATGGCCAAATGACATGCCAAATTAGGGTGTGTACTTGGCATCAGAATAAAAAATAATAACAAAAACAGCAACAAATTCAAAAACTTTCGTGGAAACCGAAAAGGATAAGAATAATCAAATAAAATATGTATAAGAAAAAAATACTTGGCAAATAAAAATTGATTTTTCGTGACTTATTGCACGCCCTTGTTCTTCGTGCTTTATACAACTTTGTTCAAATTAATATCTATGTATAAGTATACATGTGAATATAGAGTGCGCCTGTGTCATGGGCGCAACTCGCACTTCAACTATGTTGCATGCACACGCACACTAGTACAAGTGACGCGTCATTGAGTTCCAAAGGAGCTGCGCTTGCGGTAGAACTGTAGGCGTCTCAAAACCGGCTCATGTTTTGTTGTTCAATATAGTTTTGTTTTCAAAAAACCTTTACAGAAAGCTTGTGAGCTGTCAGTGGCACTTAAGTGCCTTAAATAATGCTGAAATATACTTCGTTATACATACTATATACAACCACAAGCCTGTCGTTCGAAATTCTGATTGTTCAATAAAAAGGACTGGTGTGAGCTGCTATACATTTTGAACATGTTTATCTTAGCTATTAAATGAATAAAAATTAGTCTAAAATAAGAAAAAGTTAACTTAAGCGCTGGAGCTATAATAGCCTTTGCAAATACAAAAGCTACATTGCAAAAACTTTTATTGATCAGTTTGTATGGTAGCTAAAGGCTATAGTGGTTCGGAGATTTCTTCAGAGATTGTATCAGTGTCTTGGGCAATAATACATGCAAAATTTCTTGATGATATCTCGTCAAATATCGAAGCTTTCCGTACAAGCACTTTATTCCTATAGTTCAGTTTGTATGGCCGCTACACCTTATAGTGGTCCTTTATCGGCGGTTACGACATACATGTAAACAGCTTCTTGAGGAGAAAAGGATGTGTGTGAAATTTGAATTTAATATATCAGAAACTAATGGACTTGTTCCAGATAGGCAAACGAACAAGCCAAAGCTGACACCAAAAGGCCTAGTCTGAAACCAGTTCTACTCTAACCAGTCGGACTTTCTACCAGCGAATGCAATGACATATTTTACTAAGCTCAAAAATTTTTCTTCCTGCATATATAAACCTATATGTACATAAATACTTATATAAAGATATAAGTTATGTTCCTACAGGAAGGCATGGGTTGTCACTTGGTATTATGTGGGCGTTTGATAAAATATCGCAAGGCATATATTCGTAATACCATATACTCGTATAAAACGTCTGTATGAAGTGCATAAAGGGGAAATGAAAGTAGCTTAGTATTATGCTCGTTTAAAGGAAATCCCACGTATTGAATACTTATCGCACTCAAATCCGACATTTTCTGACATTAACATACGAAACATGAATTAAAAAGGAACATGAATTTTTTTTTTGCAGCGGAGCAGTTTGGAATGTAGAGTGACTGAGTTTATTAAAATTTTAAAACTATATGTGACCTTTTGGAGGGCATTAATTTTTTTGAGGAGTTGAAAATTATTATTTTCTAAGAAAGAAAGTTACTAACCTTAACCACACGTTGTAAAACATGGTATTCATCACCATAAAAGAATTAATATAATAAGAGAACAATAAAAATAAACACTGAAAAGCTTACAAGATCTAGTATCATAAAACTGATAGAACTGATTTTTTTCTCACCCGAAAATTGCAAACTATAACATTCGATCTAATTAAAAAAAAATAATTGGAATCGCTTTTCAAGAAACCAAAAAACTAAAATCAATAGTTCAGTAGTGTGTGAATTAAGATCTACTATTTTGCCCAGTTTGAATACAAAAAGACATTAAACCTAACGACTCAGCCATAAGTTCGTTCAATTGACTTTGACGGCGATGACGCTAGCGCCAAATGTGGCAGCATTTTAATTAGAAAATTACTTCACACCGCTGAACTTGCATGCGAGATCAAGCTTTTTCCAGTTAGGTGTAAACTCGAAAATGGCAGTTAAACTAGATGAAGATACAAAAACAAGTTTAATTACTTAATTGGCCGTACGTGCTAAAAGTCCAAAATGAAGAAGAAAAGAATCGCCGAAGCGTCATAAAAGAACACTGATTCTAGTTTGAAAAATGTGAGAAAGGGAGAATTTATAGATGAAAGTCATCTACAAACATTTGCCCAAAAAAATTTTTAAATATCTTTTTTTACGATTTTTTGACAATTTTAATGGAACACTTAAAAAATTTGTCTCTTCGAGGGACAAATACTGTCAAACAAATCGATAATTTAATATTGATTTATTTCCCTTGTATTCAACATTGAGTAGTGATCGAAGTTATAGGGAGGATAGGTAGTGGAGTTTTTTTTTATCGGAGCTCTCTAGTTTCAGACTACCAAACCACTGTAGCGTCTTTCCAGCGGAGGTGGCTGCCATCAAGGTAACGGTAGATACATTGTACAGCCTCCTTCAGAGAAGTCTGCATTCACTTCAAAAGGCGAATATAGCGAATGGCTATACTGGCATTAAGCTTGATGGCTGTGTCTTCAAACTAGTAAAGAAGTGCATGACCTCATTAGCAACAGCTTCAAGTTTTTTAGATAATAGACTTGTATATGGGAGAGCACTCTAATTTCATCCGATTGGAAGCGAGTCGGTTGACCGATGACCTCTTATGCTCTAGATCTGGATCTATGGACCTCCAGTGAGCTTCACAGGCGCTAGTCAACAACCAGGAACTTCTACAACTGCGAGATCTTTCTAGTCCAAAGATAACCGTAAGAGTTCCTCAGTTGTTGGTGTTCTAACTGAACAGACTAAGTATTTTTGCGGACGCACTGTGCCAAAGCTACATGGAAGTCTTGCCCGACATTTGTGAGACTGAAATTGAAATATATATTTCGATAGATACATATCTCTTTATAAATTTGGAGTAAGCTCAAAACGATTCTTCAATCTATGAGGCGATGCACTCTTAAAGAGTTTTTGGATAACAGAAAAGGAAAAATATTTGTCCAAGTAAGATCCAGCGATTTTGAATCAACCCTACGACCGAACCCAACTCTAACCTACCCAATAGTCTTCAAGATACGACTTTATCCGATAATGCTGAGCTAGCATATATGACACATATAAAACGTTCGTTCAATAAATATATAATATATTAATATGTACATCAAAAAAAACTAAGGATCTCATTTTTAAATTACGGTAAAATTTTAATGATACGTACAGTTTGCTTGTGGGGATTGTTGTATACATACTGATGAACCGATTACTTAAGATATTTTTGTTCTATGCATTCAAGTAATCGAAAACAAAACCCAGTCCTTGATGGCATTTTCATAGGTACAAAAACTTTAACAAAACTTCATCGTTAAGGTAAATTGATAAAAAAAGGCAAGCTAACATTTAGTACCTTTCTAAAAGAGATATGGATCTGATTAAGAAAGCCACTATCAAAGAACCGGGAAACACCAATGCTGAGAAAATATGAAAAGGGCTTATAAAGACTTGAAAGGTCTTATCTACACGCAGTCGCATTCATCACCGCAACGTTAACGCTGACAAACAAATTATTTATCTTTTTGGACAAGTTCACAGGCGTTGTGTTTCTCTTATTTTTGCTGTGTCATTTTTAAACAATGCACCGACAAAAGTTTTGTGGGTAGTTGATATTGATTATTTCCACGAATTTATTTTCTTTAACTAACAAACTAACCAGCGCCGCTTGTTTGCTTGCCAACACGATATCTTGGGAATCAGCAACAACTACAAAAAGGCAACAATACCACAATAATACGCGCAAAGAAAAGTGTTAATGGAAAACTACGAGGTATAATATCCATATTGTGGCAATAAACTGCTGCCAAGTTCATAAGTGGATATGGCAGTTTGCTATTAATTTTTTTACTCTTTTTTTAGTCTTCATTTTTTTATCAGAACTTAACCGTTATTTTAATTAAAGTTGCGAGAAGAAATATACAAAATTAACACATGATTTCTTTCATATAAAACGCCGTTGCCTAGACTTGCAATTAAATAGCGCACTTGAGGGCCTCATTAAACACAATAGCTTTCCAATGACAACCACACTACACTCAACATACCTACTGTATCATAAACTAATGCCACCTATCGTAGGTAGTCAAACGAAGCACAACCAATGAAGTGCACTTCGTTACACACCGCTAAATAATAGAATTGAAGAGTAAAAAAAAAAACACAAAAATTATATAGCGAAACAATATAAGCATAAAAATGCGTAACTATGAGCATAAAGCAATAAAAATCTTATTTAGTCAAACCACACACATTTTATATCTGTCATTCTTTCAAATCCGAACGTGATTTATCTCTAGTCAACAGTGAACAAGTCACGCTCAACGAATTTCGACAAAAAAAGAGTGGTGAAGATGAAATCTCAACTTGTGAGCACATTCCCCATGGCGACTAACTTGTTAAAGCGCAGGCAAACCTTGAAAAAAAAATTTATCTCAAAATATTATAATTTTTTATGTAAATTAATGCTTTTTTACAGGAAGAATAATTGCTCAATAGTTAGCTGAGGAACTCAATAGACACCGCAAAGCAACAGAAGCGCTAATTCAGAGACTATGAGATTATTCAGAAATGGTGAATACATATGTTTAGAACCGGTTGGGAGACAGGAACATCCTTCATCAGTAAATTCAACGGCCACCACCCTCTATGGTCCAATATACAGTTCCCACAGCCGGTTCTATTTTACCGGACTTTATCCGTTTATTTAGATCGATAAGTTTTAGTAAATATAAGAAAGTTTACCTCTCTTCTCCCTGATGTGACTGTCATATTGGGAGTTGCTGCGTGCGAAATTAATCGCTGCCATTGTGGATTGGAATTCTTGGTATTCGTCTTGAGTACTTTGTTGTTGAAGTGTCTGATGACCTGTCAGACTCTTACCGAAAGTACTGCATGCAGTTGTCGTTGAAGGGGTTGTCGACGTATGTATTGCACTTGCACTCACACTAACACTCGGACTTTGACTGCGGCTAACTCTGCCGACTGCCTGGTTGGGCTCCACACGTGTGGGCACAATTACCAGATGCTTTGCAGCGACACCTTCCGTATCCGAATCGTCACTTAAATCACTTTTCAGAGGGTTTTCGGCCTTTTCTTGTCCAACCGTGCCACTACCCAAACGTACATTAGCACCGGATAGAGCTAAACCAGTTGGACGCGTTAATTTTCCGGCAAAAGCTTGGCGCTGATGTTCTTCGCGTAATTCACGTTCTTCGCTCGTCGCGTGCCTACTACTAGTTACTGACGTCGTTGTAGTCGTTGTCGTTTTCTTCTTTCTGCTGACAACTCGTTGCGATTCTTCTGCGGAAGAATCGTGCGATTGGCCCGTCTCCAATATGCTAGCCGTATGCGTGCCCGTTACTGTAAGTCCTGCCGCGGCTTCGCCTTTTTCTGTACTGATTGTTACTGCTTCACCTGATTGCCTTTGCCATGGAGTTTGTTCCTGAGTTTCCAAAATCATATTTTCCATAGTGTTGTTGGTTTCCATTTGTTGTTCTTGCCGTTGCTGTTGGTAATACCATTGGCCCGACTGTTGCGGTTGCGTTGGTTGTTGATGGTGCAGATGATGGTGGTGGTGGTGATGCGTACTACCCACGGTAATGTCAATGTTACCCGGTGACGTTTCCATCGCAACGTTGTACATAGCAGCGGCACCACCGCCACCGTCTGGACTGCGCGCTAACTGACGAATGCGCGCCTGCACTGAGTCAGTAATGTCGCTGTTTTCATGATATGCACTCGTGTCGAGACTTTCATCCTCCAAACGTATTAATATACGGCGACCACCAGCAGTCATATCAACAGTTCGTGGTGGTGGTGTTGCGCTGGTGCGACCGCTCAAAGAACGCGGCACGGAACTTTCACGTTCTCTCTCCATGGATTCGAAGAAAGCGCGATTCTCCCGTTGCGGTGAACAACGAGGCGACACATAACCTTCGCCATGACGGAAAATTTTCTCTTCGTGCTTGCTTCCATCACTTGTCATGGACGAGGTGATGATCGTGCGTACACCATCAACGGCATGAACTTCACGTATTGTCTGCTCAGATTCCAAAAAACTCGCAGATGCACTTTTCGGATCGCCAGGACTTACGGGGCTTATCGGATAGCCTTGTCGTGTAGTTGTGCGTAGCGTGACATTGAAAGGGTTACCGGTGGTCGTTGTAGTTTCTTCATATTGCTGTGAGCTCGTCGATAAATCCTTCTTTACAATCCGACGTGTCGTGCGCAGCGTTACATTAAAAGGACTTCCTGATTGTTCGTCTCCTACTTCAATATGTCCTGATTCATTACCGGGGCTTAATTTAGTGGTTGTACGCAGTGTCACATTAAATGGCAACGGTGTGGAGTCTTCTTGCACCTCTACCCGACGCGGTGAAGGTTGCGGCGTATGGCGCAACTGCACCTGTTGAAATGCTTGCTTAGCCGCTTCAGCTTCAGCCAAACCACGCTGTCGTTCCCTACGCAGCCGCTTCTCAATTTCTAACACATCAATATCAAAGGGATTTTCTAATGTCTCACCCACAACGGTAATGGCTTGCGATGAGTGTTCCGCCGACGTAGCTTCCATGAATTCGCGTCGCAACTCTTCGGCACTCTCGTCCGGCGAACGCTTAAGACTACCGCCAGAGGACCAAACCTTTTCATACTCCGCCACTTTCTGGCGCAACCGTTGCGGTGTTGTAGGCGTATCAAGCTCTTCTTCGGCCACATACTGCACCGAACTAGAACTAGAACTGCTCTCATGGAATTCCGACGAGCAATGTATAATCTTACGCGTAGTATATGTGCGCGTAATTGTTGACGTCTCCAACTGTTCGTGTGTGTTATCCGCAATAACGGTGCCAATGTCGGTCACAGCTGGTTCTAATGGTGTTGCAGCGCCACTTGACGGCAACACATCAGCTGTGCGATGAAATCGCCGTGTGCGCGTAGCTGGTATAGGCGGTGGGCCTACTTCTGCATACTCATGCTCATAGTTGGTATCACGGTCTCGACCCACATCACCGGCTGTAGGTGCATTGGGTGGGTCCTTATTCTTTCCTGGATCTCTGTCCATGACATCGATATGTTTGCTGCTGCTGCTTTTGTCATGTACGTCCAGTCGGCAGGACAACACATTGGCGTTATCTCAGCGTGTTTTACGTCGCACAATTCACGACTGTTTCGCTACTGTGTACGAATGGTGTTGAAGTGAAGAGTTAATCGATTTTTCTCACAAACACATAACGCCTCGGCCAGGACTCACGCTCCCACAATAAAGATTTCGGCGTACGCGTGCCAAAACAAACGTAACGAATCTGGCAATATGGCACTTTTAACTCGGAAAAATGGTAATTAAACTTATTGCGTCTTTGAACGCGAAAAAGCTACGCGCCCTAGTCAATAGTACAACAAAAAACGGTTTAACAAACACAATTCACTTTATGCTTCTCACTTTCTTCGTCGCGCACCCTGCTTTTCACTTTGAAGGGCTCTCAAATTTTCATTTAATAAATTTTCAATTCTCTCTTGTTTTCTTTTTCGTTGATTGATAAATATTTTACACAACTTTTTTACAAAAATTTTTAGTGCAAGTGCTGTACATACTCTTTTTACCGTAAGCTTGAACGGTTTAGTATTCTACTCGTGTTTCACACATTTAATTTGTCACAGAAAATTTGCTAATTCACACAATTGGCGTTCACATTCATATGGTAGTAGCCTTTTCACAACTACTTAACAACATTAATTTTCTTCTTCGACGATTAATAATGCAAAAGAATTTAAGTGGAAAAATATATACATATATGGATGTATGTATATTATTTTGTGCGTTTTTCGCCTTCTTGCTATTTATTTCCAATCCGTTGCAGTAGAAAGCCGGTTCGATACTGAAACCGAGACTGACCAACTAAACTTCAAGTGCTGCTACACACCTTTTTCTCGTTGCTCCAAAGCGCCAGCGACACGAAGACCCAGCTTCAGTGTGAGCGCCAGCATGGAGAAACTAACATCGATTTTTGAATGGATAACGAGACACGCTTGCTGACTTGCGCTCAGCATGTGTACAAACATGCATAACTACAGACACACATACAAATATACGTATGTAATATAATAACGATGAGAGCATCGGTATTTGCCGGAGCTTCTTACTACGTTTTACGCTCGGCTACAACCACTACCACAACACCTTGAGTTGAGCATGCGGCATACCAGTACTACTATTGTATTATAACAGTGAGAACTAGGGGAGGCACGTAAGCAACGGCTGACAAACACTCGCGAAACTGTGCCAGCGTATGTCCACTTGGGGTTGATAAGTCCTGCTATTAGCACTTAGCTATGTACGTAGATATGTATGTATGCATTTGGGTATGCATGAGCGCACGTTAACTTTAGCTCTCTGTGTCTGTTGACGCGCTTTGTAAGCCACAGCAGGTATACTTCGGTGAGGCGGGTTTGTTTTGAATGTGACATCATCTTCGTAAACATTTCACGCAACATTTTGACAAAAACAAAGTCGAAAATAGTAGCTGTACGCTACACAGTAAATAGCAGGTCCATTGAGAAGCCAAAAGCTCAGTTAATATTTAACTTTTTGGAGGAGATGGTAAAATATTTTGGATAACGGGTTTCTATACTTTTAAAGTTACCCAGCGAAGCCGAAATATAAATCAATTTTTTTAAATTTTCAATTAGCAAATGGATGTTACAAAATATTGTTTTATATATGTATAAAGAATGTTTTCTTTCAAAAACGCATTGGAGATTCGAGTTCATCTCAAGTGGCTGGACTGCTATGGGAAAACACTTTTAATTGCTATTAGGGATTTTCGATCAAGCTCAGATCCTACTTCCTTTTACCTCATTTGAAAAGCCTAACTTGGCTTTCCAAAATTAGTGCACGTATACCTAAACATTATCGTATGTTTCGAAGCCTTCTCATTTTATGTGCTTATTTAAAAGAAAACACTTTTTCACTTCTAATCTTTGCCTTCTTTTGCCTTAAGGTATTACACTTATGTAACGGTAATCAAAAATAGATCTCTTCAGCGAACAAGTCAACAAGGTTAACCCTACAATGAGATCTACGTAATCGGAATGGACCCGAATATACATGGATTTGAGCGTCATTCACTTGGGAGTTGTCAGAAACGATACTTTTGCATATGACTCAAGCAGTTCACCACTTTCAGTCTTAGATAAAGTATCCTCTGGGTAGCCAAAGAACATCGGTTTGAAGGAAAGCTAAAGTGAAAAGACGAAAAATCACTTCCCAGGGTTATGTGCTAGCTTTGTGATCCGCTACGTCAAAAACACCCCCAATGAAAGGAAGAAAACAGTCTCAGATGAGAGTTTTTTTACGACTACAACCGCGTAAGTGGTGTCTCCAATAAAGAAGAAGACTGACATCCGCTTTGTTAAACTTCAATAGCTAGCCAAAAGGTTGTTTCTATCTTAGACCTATAACTAACCTAAGATTTTATCTTTTAGTTACACAAACACTTACTCAGAGTCGACAAAACTATCGACAAACGACAAATAACAGTTAGCCTTGTTTAGAACACATTTTATTTTCACTTTTTGAAATGTCAAGAAAATCAGTTCAAAACATTATCTCGCCAGATTATCAGCAGTAGGTACTTTATACAAGCAACTCAATGATTTATAAAAGCAATGTCAACAAAACCACAAAACAGTTGTTCAGGCTCTCATTCCATTGTGTTTGCTTTACGCTTTCGTTATTGCACAAGGTCAGTTCGGATATTCAATACATATGTACGTATAATATGATATATACTTACATACGTATCTAGATATGTATTTTACTTCAATATAAATAAGAGACGAGACATATTTCTTACTTCAATAGAATTAAATATACGTACATACATATTTAAAAAGTTAGTAAGTGCCTAAGTTACAACTGTATGAGCTCATAAGTACAAAAAAAAAATGTTTACAATGCCCCGACATTCCCTCAATACCGATATACATACATATGTATATATATATATACATATACTATATTGTATATTAAACGTAGAACCAATGAAGCTTCTAACAAGTCTTAACGTGATTACAAACACTCAGCGCTTAATGGGTCAGTATTTAGCTTCTACCTAGTTTCGTATTCACAACTTTTAAGAGAGTCACTGTAAGAACATATACATACATATGTACATATTTATGTGTTATATACACTTACTATATAAGTAGCATAGTCACACCCCCGTGAGCATGTAAATATATGGCGATATTGCCCTTGCTGGTTGACATCATAACATAATAGGTGGCGCTAACTAGTAAAAAATAAATAAGCATCAATGTTGAGGGGCTAAGAAATTCACGTGGAACATAAGACTGTAACAGCTTATTGCGTAGTCGAGAGCAATTATATTAAAATATTAATTAGCACTCAAGAGATAAAAATTTAATACAAAATTGAAATTTTTTTTAAAAATTGCGTCCCCCTGATGCTGTTTGCTCCATTATACAGTATTTATTCTTAATTTTCTATAAAATAATTATATGATATATTTTCCATCCCTGTCGAGGCATAGCTAAAGTTAGGTCACACAAATTTCCTACACATTCGCTTTAAATGACCATTCACGCCTCTCATTTTCTCTCTGGTCTCTCTTTATATGAGTTTGTGTTATTATGTAAATCACTTTCTACTCATAGACAGCCTAGAATTAGCGTGGATCATGATCACTCCGAGCCCAAATGAGTGCATCCTTGCAGCCTTAGCAGAGAACATAAAACAAAAACAAACAATTGTTTGATGTTCTCTGGCCTTACACTTGCTAACAGTTGCTTAACAGTCTCCTACCAGCACTGTAAGACACAAAAAAAACCTACATATCAATATATTCTACAACATTTCACTATGTATGTATGTACATGTTTGACCTATTGTCATTTCATTGCCATCGTCCGACTTGCGCGCCGTTATTTTTTAGTTTACTAGGTACTATAATAGTTTTGAGCATCACGTCATGGCGGCGCACTTGTTTACATGTACCGACTACATATGTAAATCATTCATACCAGTATATATAAATATGTATGTTCAACATTATTCATTAAATTTTGCTATATATGTACATACATACAGACATCTGTACAGTAGAGCAGCCAATGTAGTCTCCATTCAAGTCATTTAAAAAGACACTTAATTAAATTAGACTACATTCAATAAAATGGTGTTCACCTCAAGCGCATGGAGGATCCGTCTAACGACTATAGCAGTTAACAATTGGCTATTTATGTTTGTATGTACAGTTGTGTTCAAAATAATAGGAGTGCCGCACAATATAAAATACGAAGTTATTTTTTTTTAACAAAAACATGAATTTGATTCATTTATTTTTTATCGACGAATTGTTCATTTTATGCAGTCTTATTATGCACTTTTAAATTTTTAGTAATACTTTGTAAACGAAGAAAAAAAATATTATTTACATAAAAACCTCAATAATTCGGTGTTCAAAATAATAGGAGTGCATCACAAAATTCAATAAAACTAATAATAAATTAAAAAATTAGAAATTATGACTGGTATATAAGATAGTTTAGTTAATATTTAGTCGAGTAACCGCCATTTTTAATTACTGCAGCACATCTGCGGGGCATGGAATCGATCAGATCACGACATCTTTTCAGCGGGATTTGCTGCCACGCCTCCTGGACTAGGCTCCATAATTCCCTTGTATTTGATGGTCTACTTTCAGCTACACCTTTTTTAACATCTGTCCATAAATTTTCTATCGGATTAAGGTCAGGCGACTGAGCAGGCCACGACATAACCTCAACTTCATTGACSCGAAACCATTCTTTTGCGGACTTACTTGTATGTTTCGGGTCGTTATCTTGCTGGAACAACCACTTTAATGGCATATTCGATTCCGCGTATGGCAGCATAACTTTTTTCATTATATCCACATACACGTACTGATCCATGGTTTCTTTAATTAGATGGATTGGTCCAACGCCGTTGTACGAGAAACTTCCCCAAACCATTACTTTTGCACCACCATGTTTGACAGTCTTAAGGGTGTATTACGGACTATATTCCGTATTTGGGGGACGACGGATAYACTGTCTAGATCCTGTGCCACCAAATAAAATTACCTTACATTCGTCCACAAAATATTTCTCAATTTCTCTGGTTGCCAGTTGACATGTTCTTTGGCAAATTGGAGCCGTGCTTCAATATGCTTCTTTGTCAACAATGGAACTTTTCGCGGACTCCGCGCAAATAAATTACATTCCAGTAGACGTCTACAAACTGTTACCTCACTAACATCAAGATTTAGACGCTTCTTTATTTCTCTAGACGTCGCTTTGGGATCTTGTTTAGACGACTGGAGTATGCGTCGATCGATTTTTTTCGTAGTTTTACGTTTTCGTCCACGAGTTTCGGGTTTATTTTTGTAGGATAAGACATTTGATATCATTTGGTCAGAACACCCGAGTATTACTTTAATTTCTTTATAAGTTTTCCCATTTTTTCGAAGATTTTTAATGATTTCACGCTTTTCGTCGCTGCAGTGCTTTCCTCTACCCACTAATTAAAATAAATGACTTATCCTTTAAAAAATATCACCGTTTTTATTTTGTTGTACTTACTTTTTTGTTTTTTACAGATTTTGTTTAAATAAAAATATATTATACCACTTGGTAGCTCACACTCCTATTTTTATGAACAGCTCAATTCAGTGATCGACACAGATATGAACTCACAACATTGCAAATAATGTAAACAGC